TGAACTCAACCTAGAGGCAAAATAAAGTGTATATTTAGGCAATGCGTGGTGGCAAAAGGAGGAAGAGTTGGTAAATAACCCCAAGATCGGCTTCTGGAGACACAGGGATGGGGTGCTTGCCCTTTCCTAAGGTAAAGAGGACTCACAAGTGGTAAAGAGGGAAGTGAGTATGGCAATCAGGTTTCTGAAGTCGAGCAAATGGAGTCTGAGATGCCTACTGGATGTTCAGGTGGTGACAGGAAACTGGATTGTTAGGTTTTCGGGTCAGAGAGTAGAAGAGATAAATGGCAGGGCCAAAAGAACAAAGTTGGAAAACTCAGGTCTCCTGGCTCCCGACGGAACTCTTTCCACAATAAAGCGAAAGCATGCTCTCAAGCACAATGGACAAGTGGCATTTACGCGCTCGAAAGTTAGGGCGCAAAAGAGGAAATACGGTAACTCTGCGCTCGGCTCGCTGTGCGCGGGAGCTGCCGGAGCTCACAGACCAGGCCCGCGCCTGCAGCGGGCCGGTTCTTTGCGGGAACTTGTCCCAAGCGGAGCGGCCCGGGGCTCGGCGTGCGTTCCTCGCGGGCGAAGCTCTGGCTGCTGGCGACGAGGGTCCTGACTCATTTCCTAGAGCCAGTTACCTTGCTGATCAGCCTCCTGGAGCTAGCTGGCTAGGAAGGACAAGGAAGAATCTTCTTCCTGCTCGGGACAGGCCGCGGTTGCCGAACCCTCTCATGCAGTTCCAGGCTGGGTTTCCCAGATCTCCTGGGTGGAAACCAGTCCCTTGCATTCCAAGTGGCAGTGTGAGAACTGGGGAGCCCAGGAAGTCCACCCTCCTCGATTTCGGAAGAAATCAAGGCCCCACAGTGAACCCGGGGGCTGTGTCAGACTCCCAGTGACTGGGGACCCCATGGTGCCAGGGGAGGTGGGGGACTTTGGCTCCACATTTGCCAGCCCCGTGTTAGAGCTCTTCCTCTCCGAAGGGTCTCAGTTTCCTTTTCTGTAAAAGGGATCGCTCTTGCCCTGCCTTCCAGGCTTATAGATGGACAAATCATTAAAGAAAAAGCAACAGCTGGTCGTGACCAACGCGGCACTGTCCTGGACTCCTGGCGCCAGGCCTCGTGTCCTCCCGGCTTTGAAAAGCATGCCGCCTCTCCAGCCATTGAGAATGGGGGGAGGGGGAGACTAGAGGGAGGGAAGGGCCGGAGGGGGATCGTCAGGCCCGAAAGGAGCCCGGCACAAAGCCACGGTGTCTGCCCTGCCCGGGGACTCTGGGGTCAGTGACAGGGGCCTTGGAGGAGGAGCAGGGAGAGCGGAAGTCCCCGCTCCGAGGCCCCCTCCCCCTCCCCCGGGGCAGGTGAAGAGAGACCGGGCTCTGCTCCAGGTGGCGGGGCAGAGACGGGGGTGGGGGAAGGCCCGGCAACAATAGCACTTTTATTTGGGACTGTTGGGTTCAGAGCGGGTGGGCGGAGGAGGAGGACGCCGACCGGGCAGCGGCATCTGGCTACACACCTGCTCCTGCTTAACCCTGTGCGTGCTGGGCGCTCGGTTGGCGGGGGCGAGCTAACCGGCGGCGGAGACCAAGACTCCGGCTGGGGGACACCTCCCTTGGGCCCTTGGCCAGTCTTGGAGATCTCCAAGAACAGGAGCAAAAGGGATTCCCACAGAGACAGAGCTCCCGATGCTCCCGACTGTGCCCTTGGCCCAGCCAGGGGACCCCGGTGGGACACAGCGGGCTGGAGAACAAATCCGAGCGGCTTTAGAGGGAGGCGAGGACTCCCTGCCGCCCTAGGGCTGTTCCGGGAAGCCGGGCTTCCGGAGGCGTTGCGACGCCCAGGGCCATTCCAGGCGGGGCAACTCTGCACAGGGCACAACCCCATCGCGCGGCACACTTCCCAGTTCGGTGCTGCAGGTGAGCCGGGTGCCTGGTATACTAACCCCGGACTTAGCCCCGCGGGTGCCCCCTGCCGGCCGGGAGGCTCGAGCCCCGCGCTGCACCTGCCCACACCCGAGACCCATCGCCCCTCCAGCCCCTACTTCCCAAGCCCGCAGGGCCACGGTGCCCCCCAGGCTGGCCCGAGGCCTGGCATGCTGACTCGCTGCACAATCCGAGCTTGTTTGTAGGCGGAGGAGCTGAGCCGGGTAGGGCGGCCCTGAGCCAACCCACTGATCCCATAAAATATTATTTGTGTTTAAAAATTCCAGTAATTGGCTATGCAGCCGCTTTTTCCGAGCCCCGTGCCAAGCGCAGTAAAAATTCGCACTCCGGCCGGAATTATTTTCATCATGCAAATTCCCATTTTCTGTAAACAGGGTTAAAACGTTTGGAAGGCCCACCTCTCCCCCCTCTCTCTCTCTCTCTCTCTCTCTCTCTCTCTCTCTCTCTCTCACATACACACACACACACACACACACACACACACACACACACCACCACCACCACCACCACCACCACCGGTGGCTGCGACCAGAGGCGAAAAGTTAGAAGGACGTTGGTCGAATTGGTATCGATCCTGGGATTCCCTTGTAATTGAAAGCATATCCCCAATCGATATCCCTTGAAGACCAGCGCCTGAACTGGGTAAAATTCCCATGTCCTCAACTTCCTCCTCTTCCTCTAGCTGAACAACATACATCATTAAATCATGGAACTATAATTCCTTTCTTTAAAAAAATTTTTTTAACTGGGGGTGGGTGTCAGAGGACAGTTTGCAGGTGCCAGGCTTTGCCTTCCAAACTATGGGTCCTTGGAATGGAGCTTAAATCATCCGGCTTGGGGGCTCTGGGGTTTACTCACTGAGATTTTCCCACCACCCCCTTTCTCCTCTTTTACCACAGAAGCAAACTGAGGCCCAGCCACATAGTAAATGGAAGTTAGCGCCCAAGCCAGCACGGTTTGCCCAGCCAGCAAGATTCCTGCAAGGGCGGGACAGTAGAGGCTGAAGCAGGTGTCTCTCCGTGGGGAGAGGCTGACTAACTCTAGCCATAGTAACTTCAGGGAGGACTAACTCTCAAAGTGCCCACTTCCTGTCCTTGCCTGGAGGGAGGAGGGGGCAGTCCCAAGCAGGGCCTCAGAAACCCTGAGTAATGGACAGGAGCCTCTTCGGGAATCCGCCCAGAGTAGGTTGCTGTGTGCAGGCTACCGAGAGGAGACTACTCACGTGGAAGGGAGGGATTGTTTTTAAGAAGAGGCAGAGGAAAACAAAATTCTGAAGTTGGTAAGGAAGGTGGAACTCGAAAAATGTACATAACGCTGTGCTGTCGGTAACGTGTTATTTGCAATATCTGAGGACCCACTTGGCAAATGAAGGCGCTGAGGTTCTAGGAGATCAGTCAGTTGTCCAGGGTCCTGATAGGAAATCCCACTTCCCCCGAATTTACCCTTCCCCCCCCCAGCCTGTGTGGGCTTCCTTCTTTTGCCCTGAATGTGCCCCAGGCTGGCAAGTCATCCAACTCTAGATCTTTCTTCTCACTGAGGATTCCCTTACAGGCAGACTACCTGTGGCACTGAACTTGGTCTCCTAACTCTAGCCAATGAAAACAAGGAAGGGAGACAACAAAGGACCCACACAGGAAACTTGATAGACCCTCTCATGCATAGCCCCAAGCCAATCACACACCCCAGAACTCCATAGTGGACACCATGAAGTGGGTTCAGGTCACTGGTAGTAGCATTTCAGCACCAACCGGAGGGCCCTTGTGCAGAGATCTTGCCAGTTTCTTTACTTCCCTGCTTAGAAATCAGCTCCAAGCCTACAATTCCAGCTATGCTACTATAGTCATGTAGATCCTCCATGCCCGTTATTCCAGTACTCAGGAGGCTGATGCAGGAGGATGATGGGTTTGAGAACAGCCTGGGCTAACAGAGACCTTGTCAAACCACACCCACAGCAGATTCTAGCGTAGTGAACGTGGAAGTTTATCGTCCTTCCCTGGGACACTCTCAATGCCAGGCACAATGGTACCTGTCTGAAGGTGGGGGTGAACAGATCCTAAGTACCACACTAACCTAACCTAAGAGATTCTGCCTCAAAAACACCCAGGCATGGTAGCGCACGCCTTTAATCCCAGCACTTGGGAGTCAGAGGCGGGCAGATCTCTGAGCTTGAGGCCTGCCTGGACTAATAGAGAGTTTCCAGGACAGGCAGGGCCATATCATGAGGCACTTTCTCAAGAAACAACAAAAAAACAAACAAAAATGAAAAGTGCAGACTATGGTAACTTATTCCTACAATCCCCCAAATCTAGGAGACCAAGGCAGGAGGATTGCTGGGAGATAGATAGATAGATAGATAAATAAATAAATAAATAAATAAATAAATAAGCAAACATAGATCTTGTTGTGATCCAGATGGATCCAGGAAATGTGGGAGCTTCTTGTCCATCTTTATGAAACTAGTGTCAAGGTACAGGCATCTGGGGAGAGGAAGGACCATCAGTGGAGCCAGATTGGGAGGGGGCACCTCTTAAAGGTTACAGAGACGGACACAAAGGATGGAGACTCTTATAAAAGGAAAAAGAACATGAGAAGGAAAAACAAAAAAAGCCTGGTGGACGCTAGCATGGGAAATAGGCAAAGAAGGCCGGCAATCCCAGGGCACCCAGGAACTAACACGCTTGTCTGGTCGCCTCCTTACTGCCCTAGTTGGACCCTCTTTCCCAGAATTGCACAAAGAGCCACTGCTAGGGCCTGGGTGTTGGGTCCAGGGATGTGGGGAGAGTTTCTTTCCCACCTGTCTTCCTGCCTAGCACCAGGGTAAGTCACTCCCATCTGACTCCAGAGCTGTGGGTTCTGTCTGTGATGCCATCCATTACCCAGAGGATCTGGGAAGATGGAGGGTAAATGAACACTCCCAGGGAGCCTAGCAAGCCAGATTTGGTAAAGACACTGGCTCCTTTGGGTTGTGACTCACAAGGATGATGTCACAATGGGTTTGGAGGTGTGGCTCTTCCCTTTAAGCTAAGATAAATCAGTCTCCTTCACATTCCCTTCCCTTCTATTCTCAGTGGATAGGATGGCGTGGCATGGGCGGGTCCCATGGACAAGTGACTTCGGAGGTCTGTCTCAAGGACAGACATGAGCAGAAATGATCTCAAATTCAAATCTATACAGAAATATTGGTTAGAAATTTATATAGTCAAGGAAGAAAGCTCAATGGCTCAATAAGGCTCTCAGTAAGCGCCTCTGACATGCCAGGTACAAACTTAGGTGTTAGTGGCTGTCAGAGTGGAATGAGGGGTTGAGGGGACCTACCCAAGGCATCTATCTGCCTGACAAGGTGATGAATGGTCCAGGTTTGGGGCTGGCTGTGCCTAAGTAGAATTTTTGTCAGGCAAAGGGACCAAGAGACAGGTAAGGTGTTACATACCTGTGACCCCAGCCCTGGGAAGGCCGCACCAGCCAGGGAAATCATCAGTTTGAGGCCAGCCTGGGCTACATAGTGAGATGATACCTCAAAAGCAAACAAACAAAAGTCAGAGAGACTATCAATATATTCTAAGTGGCAAGATCAGCATCCAAATGCCCTGGCATAGGTAGGCCTAAAGCAGGGACCTGGGGTTAGCTAGGGAAGGCGGCGTAGTATAGGAAGCGGGTTGCGATTCTTCCCCAAGCCCTGAATTTGTCAGTCCTGGGCTCCCTTCTTCATGTGAGGTTCCTACCACCCCTGTTCTTTTAAGAGGAAAGATGGGTGAACTCCATCTTCAATCCTGTGCTCAAGATCCCACCAGTGGAGGATATTTGGGACAATGAAACGGAAGAGGAAGAGAAGGAGGAGAATATAGACAATGAACAAGAGAAGGAGGAAGAAGACAGGTGAGTTTGGCACCGGGCTGTGCTTCCTCCGCCCCTCCGCCCCCTCCCTGGAGATCCTCGCTCTCTGCCTCCTCCTCACCCCATGCCTTTCTTCCTATCTTGCTCAGGATTAAGGCCCTTCTGGGAGCGCCCAGGCAGGACTCAGTGTGGGGACTGATGGCTTGGCCCAGGCCCTCCCCAGAACAAGCCCCGTGGTGGGAAGACTTTTCCCTGCCTCCACTCCGCGGACCCTGCCTCTGCCGGTGCAAACTGAGGGCACAGATGAAGCTCCACCCACTGCCCTCCTGCCCCACCTCCAAACCCTTGCCCTCGTTGGCAAGCAGAGAAGAGTATAGCTGGCTGAGAGACCAACCTCTGATGGAACCTTCCATAGCTTCCAGACTGAAGACCCCCAAGACAGTGCCCAGGATCCCCCCCAGGGTCTCCCCTAAGAGACCTACTGTCCCCAAGCCCGGGCGACAGCAGAACCCAATGTCAATGTGGCCTCCGATCATTATCAATCCCCCCTCCAAAAGCTCTGCTCTTAAGGGACAACACACGTCCTCTGCCAAGGAGGCCTCACATACCCCAGATGCCTGGGGCAACCCCTTCCCTCACCTTCCTTCAAAATAAATATTTTTGTTATACCAGCAGCAGTCTAATATAGTTCTAGTCACTTTCAGACGTGTTCGCCCATGAAAACCTCACAGTATTTCTAAATCCTTCAAAGCACAGGTCAGGGTCTCCCCACCCCATCCCCAACAGGGTCCGTCTCCTGTTGCCCAAGCTGATCTCAACCTTGCTATATAGCCAAGGAAGACATTGAACTTCTAACCCTCCTGCCTCGCTTTGGAATGATTTCACCCTCATTTAGTTATTCAGTTATTTATGTCAGCATGGACTCGGGGACATTTATGTTATACTTTGAGTATTTAATGCCGGTGTCTTCGTTTGGGTGCTCAGGTCGTTCCTATTGGGTCATGGGGCCCGGTTTGGGGGTGGGCGGGCTTCTGATGATGTATCCTATAACCCTTTGTCCTACCCATCACCAAGGACTTTGACAAAGACAAAAACTTCTTTTGTCTTGCTTCTTAGGGAAACCCTGTCCCAAAACAAAGCAAAAGCTAGGGCTCAGAACCCACTGCCCTGCCCTGGTCTGGAATTAGCTGTCTCTCCAAGGTAGCCTGCTCCCTTTTACTGGGGGCCTAGATGTGGGTACTATGTGTACTAGTTACCACTACAATCAGAGATGTGTGTGTGTGTGCAGATACACTCACGTGTGCATGTGTAAGTAAGTGGAGGTCCGAGAACAACCCCAGCTATCATTTCTAAGATGGTATCCATCTTCTTTTTGTCTTTTTTTTTTTTAAGGACATGGTCTCCCACTAGCCTAGAAATTGCCAATTTGGCTAGACTGGCTAGCCAGTGAGTCCCAAGAATCCACCTATCTGTGCCTCACCAGCTCAGATTATACACCCACCCCACCGTGCACAATGTTTTGTTTGTCAATCCTGATAAACCAGCAAGAATCCACCCTGAGTTGACCAAGGAAGGAGCTGAACTCCTCGAGACTAAGGACACCTGTGGTTCTGCAGCTCCCAGCATGCACAGCGGTACCCAACTGAGCCCACACTAGATGGAGCCAACTCAAGCTCCTTAAGTGTGGTCAGTGAGCATCGGCTCGGCTCGGCTCAGCTCACTAGCCTACCTGCTCTTTACCTTAAGCCTGAGCCTCCCGCACCCAGCTCCCTGGCTACCAACTCCAGTCAAGGAGGATGACAGCCAAAGGAGAGTCAGGAGGGTCTGCTGAGTGTTTGTCCCTGGTGTCCTCCTGGCTGGGCAGAACTAGCGGGGACTGCATCCCTGTGGAGGGAGGACAGCATCCTGTGAGTAGCCCCCTTCTCAGAACACCACCACCTCCCGCCCCAATGCCCTGGTACACACCCCACTCCCTTGGACCTCAGTCAGCCCTGCCGCCTCCCCAGCCCCACTGCAGAGACTTTCAATTCAACTCATGCCCTGCGGCCCTGTGGAAATGGAGGTGTGGGCTGGAAACACAAGACAAGGGCTTAGTGCCAGCTCTAAGTGGACCTCGTATCATGGTGGGGGGAGGAGGATGCACACGCATGTGGGGCCAGAAGTAGCCATCTGGTGTTCTCCTCCACTGCTCTCCCCCGATTTTCCTTCCTTGTTTTAAACAATTTTATTTATATGGGTCAGCAACATAGCTCAGCTAGTAAAGGTTCTTTTGGGCGAGCCTAATAATTGAAGTTCAATCCCCAGGACTGATTGTGTAGAATGAGATTTGTTCTCTGACCGTCACATGTCTGCTGCGGCACAAGCCTCCCCTTGCTTTCCCAGAGGGACTATAGTAGAAAAATTTTGAGTTACTATCAATATTATGTGTATGCATGTTGTTGGGGGGCACACATGCCATGGCACACACATGGAGATTGGGGAACAACTCCGTCAAGTAACTGCTCTCTTTTTACCTAAGGTGGAAGGGATGAACTCGGGCTCCCAGGTCTGTGCATCAAGAACGTGGAACTAATGAGCCTTCTCGCTGGCCCCACCTTGCCTTTTTGCTTTATGTGTGTAGGTATTTTGCCTACATGTAAGTCTGTGCACCACATGGATGCCTAATACCCGAGGAGGCTGGATAAGAGCATTTGATCCCTTCGAACTAGTCACAGACAGTTGTGAGCCACCGTGTGGGTGCTGGGAGTTGAACTTGGGTCCTCTGGAAGAGCAGCCAGTGCTAACTGATGAGTCATCTCTCCAGCCACACTTTGCTCCATGCTCCCATACACACTTTTATTTTGAGGCAGGATCCCTTTCTGAACCGGGAACTCACTGATTGGCTGGAGTGGCGGGCTCAGCACGTCCTAGGACCCTCCAGTCTCCACCTCCAGCAAAGAGATTTTGTTCTTTTTCTTTTCTTTTCTTTCTGACATGGTCTCAAAAGCCCTGCCCTGGTACACCCAGCTTTTTATATGGACTCTGAGGATCTGAACTCAGGTGCCCCTGCTTATGGCACAAGCACTGAGCCATCTCCCTGACCCACAGCTGAGATCGTTCAAGTAACTAGAACGTTTCCTCTCTCTCTCTCTGCTGCTGTCTCATCTTTCCTGTTATCCTCCCCCCCCCAGCCCCATCCATCCATGCTCAGTTTCTCATATGGGTCACACCCAAGAGAAAGCCAAGCCGTAGCCTCCCTGGGCCCAGGCTAAGGTGAGGAGCAAGACAGGGGCAGCCTAGGGAAGGGACGGACAGGGTCACCACTTCCCAGAGAACTGGCTGAGAAATCCTTCTATCATCACCGTCAAGGGCAGGCTCCCAAGTCTTCCGGGGCCAGGAAAGCAGAGTATGATGCTGGGGTAATGCAGGTCCTTACTGTCAAGACCACACAGGTCCTTTTCCCAGACAACCACTGCTCTGCTAGTGTTTTACTCCAAATTAAATTTATGTGTCACAAAATCCAAGAAAACAGTTACTTATAAGAGATACAAGTTTGAGCCTGGCGGTGGTGGTGCATGCCTTTAATCCCAGCACTCAGGAGGCAGAGGCAGGAGGATCTCTGAGTTCAAGACCAGCCTGGTCAGCGTCCAAAACCACAGAGAAACAGTGTCTCGAAAAACCAAGGAAAAAGAAAAAAGAAAAGAGAGAGAGAGACAGAGAGAGAGAGATACAAGCTTGGGCAGGAGAGATGACTTGGGTTAAGGCAGCCCACAATTGTCTGTAAACTCCAGTTCCAAGGGATCTGACACCCTCACACAGACATACATGCAGGCAACACACTAATGTACATGAGAGAGAGAGAGAGAGAGAGAGTTTATTTCTCACAATCAGAAGCCTTATACATAAGCAGCTCAGGGCTGGCAGGATGGCTCAGTGGATAGATATTTTGTAGCATATGGCTGTGGACCTGAGTTTAAAGATGAAAGAACCAACTCCACAGATTCTTCTGACCTTGACATGCAGCCATGCATGACTCATGCACACACACCCACACTCGCACATCATACACAGAAATTGTTTTTAAAGCTCAGGGTTGATTTGCTAGTTCACAAAGACCTCAGAATTCCAGGCCATTCCTTTTGAGTCATCTTCCTTAACCCATGGCCTCTACCCCATGATCCAATAGGGCTCCCCAAGCTCCAACAATCACATCCACATTTCAGTCAGCAGCAAAATATCCTCCGAGGACCCTGACAGACATGTGAGCTAATTAGCCTGACTGTCGGGACCGTGTTGAGCTGCAGAAGGGTCTGGAAGATGTAGCCCTTCTTCTGAGTGAGGAGCATTACAGCATAGGGATTGCTGATCCATCATAATACTAAGGAAGACTAGAATGGATACTGGGGATACTAGCCCATCACACAGAGAGCAGGTGATGCTACTGGGTTTGGGATACTGGGAAAGTGGGAACTTAAGCTGCCTCCACCCTTGGCTCCAGGGAGCATTCCTGCATCTCTCTCTCTGTTGAATGATGAGTAACAGACACATGCTCCTGAAACCACCACCTAGGAACTAAGGCTGTCAGTCACCTTTCTGCCCTTCCCTTCCTCTACTCCAGAGCAATCCACAAGTCTCTTCCCTGCCCTTCTCCTGACCCCACCTATTTCATAGACACCCTCCTGGCCCCTCCCACTTCAAGACCTTTCCTTTTATGACACCATCTACTTCACCAGCCAACCCCTCTTAGCCTTACCTACTTCACAGGCACACCCTATCATGGCCCTGCCTATGTTACAGACCACCATCTCCTGGTCCCTCCTACTTCATAGACAACCCCCACCTCTCCCACTTCACAGACACACCCTCTTCTGACCCTCCCACTTCACAGACACACCCTCTCCTGACCCCTCCCACTTCACAGACACACCCTCTCCTGACCCCTCCCACTTCACAGACACACCCTCTCCTGACCCTCCCACCTCATAGACCCCTCCCACTTCACAGGCACACCCTCTTCTGACCCTCCCACTTCACAGACACACCCTCTCCTGACCCCTCCCACTTCACAGACACACCCTCTCCTGACCCCTCCCACTTCACAGACACACCCTCTCCTGACCCTCCCACTTCACAGACCCCTCCCACTTCACAGACACACCCTCCCCTGGCACCTCCCACTTCACAGGCACACCCTCTCCTGACCCTCCCACTTCACAGACCCCTCCCACTTCACAGGCACACCCTCTTCTGACCCTCCCACTTCACAGACACACCCTCTCCTGACCCTCCCACTTCACAGACCCCTCCCACTTCACAGACACACCCTCCCCTGGCTCCTCCCACTTCACAGGCACACCCTCTCTAGACCCCTCCTACTTCACAGACACACTCTCTACTGGTCCCTCCTACTTAGTCATGCACCGACCAACAAGCCTAGAAAGATACCACAGACAAAGCACCTACTGTCTGTTGAGCTCACCCTAAGTTCACAATCACTCCAGAAGACAGATCAGTAAGAGAGCTCCACATGAGAGATCTCAGCAGAGTCAAGTCGAAGGCAGGCTGATTTATTTGAGTTAGCCTCATGGGGCTGGGAGGGAAGGTAGAGCCCTCTCTCCTGGGTCTGCTCACCTCACCCCTCACTGTCTAGCTTCCTCTTTAGCCTTGGGGTGTGGACAAGAGCAGGAGAGAAG